GAACCTGGGGACCGAGTGAGTAAGCTCGGCTCCGAGTCGAACCTGGGGACTGAGTGAGTAAGCTCGACTCCGAATTGAACCTTGGGACCGAGTGAGTGAGCTCGGCTCTAGATTGAACCTGGGGACCGAGTGAGTAAGCTCAGCTCCGAATTGAATCTAGGGATCGAGTGATTAAGCTCGATTCTGATTTTGGTGTTGCGAGTCGCCAGTCGGGAGCGATCTAGAGTGACCCAGGTAGGAATCGAACTTGGGGCCAAGTGATTAAGCTCGGTTCTGATTTTGATGCCAGCAGGTCGCTAATCGGGAGCGATATGGAGCGACCCGGGTAGGAATCGAACCTAGGGGCCAAGTGATTAAGCTTGGTTCCAATTTTGGTGCCAACGGGTCATGAGTCGGGAGCGACCTGGGCAGGAATCCAACCTAGGGGTCGATTCATACCTGAATGCCATCGTGCCACGTGGTGGGTCGGGTGGAGCGTCACAGGGCCTGACAGGAAACTTCATTTTGAACGGCCTTTCAGCGGGGGGTCTTGGGTGATGGGACGCCTCTAGCGGGAGCTCCGAGGCGGGCGAATCTGGCAGATCTGAGGGGTTGCAATGGGTCTTTAATGTCGCGATTGTCCCTCTCCTCGGGAAGCCCTAATCGTCGCCCCGACGTGGGTTATTCGCCTTTTATAATCCCCATTCTGGGCAGTTGCCATCACCTTCGCCATCAGTCTTTCATCCCGCACTTCGGCTCTTTCTTGCAACTCCGCCATCCTCCTTGCTTCAATCCCTCACCCCGGACCCCGGGCTTCTTCCTCGCAACTCTAAGGTTGGGATGTCTCCATCTTTATCTTCGTTTTCGTTTTCGTCTTTGTCTTCGTTTTCATCCCCTTCTCCCTCTCCTTCTCCTTCTTCTCCTTCTCCCATTGTAAATTCCCAGGATGAGGTAGTGAGCGTGTCTTTGGGTAGCGCCTCCTTGGAGGCCTCAAAGGGTTCAGTCGTGCTTGAGGCCCTCAAGTCATGGCATGACGTGGACTCGGTGGTGACCGAGGACCTTTTGAAAGTGTTCCGAGATCGCTACATCATCTCGGAGTGTTACGGCATGCACGCCCCTCGGCCTGGGCAGCGGCCGTACGATCGGTTTCCCGATGGATTTGGGTTAACCGTGAGGGCACTCGAGTCAGGGTTGCGGTTCCCGGTGCACCCTGTCATTAGGGACTATCTTCACTTTTGGAGGATCTGCCCCTCCTAGGTGTCGCCAAACTCCTGGCACTACTTGGTGGCTTTCATCTAGGAGTGTCGGGAGGCTGGGATCGAACCGTTCCAGCCCCTCTTTCTGGCTTGCTTCCGCCTGGGCAAGGGACCAGGCGGGTATTACTTGATCGCCCGTAGCGGTTTCAAGATCAGTGGTGCTCCCTCTAATAACAAAGGTTGGAAGAGGCGTTTCTTCTATATTAGTTATGATCGAGAGTGGGGCTCCAGTACCGGGTGGGCTTTTCGGACCATCGATAACATCCCCTATCGCCCTCTACAGGAGAAGCAACGGTCGTGGATCGTCTGAGGGGTATCCTGTCCTCTTCTCGGGCAATTAATGAAATGACCGAGGAGTGGATGGTCAAAGCAAAGCTGAGCCCTGCCACCGGGGGTATGGCCATTCGTATATAATGGATTGTTCGCTCGTCCCAAACCATTTGACCGCTGCCTATTTTGCAGAAATGGTGGATCTAAGATCGATGAAGAAGACGGCCAACGCCAAGGCCATGGAGACCTGTCTCGGGACGGGGAGGGCTTTGGAGGCGGGGTTGTCCCGTTAGAGGGCACATCGAAGAGGGCGCTAGCATCACCGGCATCGAAGCGCCCTCTTAAGAAGACAAAGATAGTGGCTCGGAAGATGCCCACGAGCCGGGCCACCCGCTCGAGCGCCTCCCTAGAATCGCCCAGGGCTACTGCCTAGGGGGAGGGCTCGGGGAGTGTGAAGGGGAAAGGGTCGGCCGGGTCGTCCGATAGCGACCCTTCCAAGAGGGCACTGACGCGCCCCGTTGTCAGTATGGGAAATGTGACGCATCTATTCCTGGGCCGAGGGTGGGTAGTACCAAGCCCAGCGTATGACCGATCTTCCGGTCGGGGAGCCCGGGGGCCCTTACACCGCTCGGTGGCTGACTCTCAAGGCCAACAGCCGTCTTTGGGGTGATGGGCTAACTGCCTAGGAGTTCGTCCAAGGGGCGTTGCACCCAGGCCTAGCCAAGGACCTCTGCAGCTCCACTTTTGAAGTGCTGGTAGAGCGGGCGGCTAAGTCGCTTATTTGGGTAAGTAATGGCTTCCTTCTCCTACCTGATCCCCTTTTTCTTGGGTGCTGACATCGATCCTCATGCAGAGCCAACACTACAGTATGGCGTTGATCGACTGGGTCCTCGATGCCGGGCGGGTGATCAAGCACCAGTTGGAGATCAATGTCGCCCTTCGGCTGGAGAACCTGGAGCTGCGAGCCAAGGGGGGTCTAGAGGCCGTTGCCACGACCGAAGAGTGTGCCACGGCACTGGGTGAGGAGGTGGCTCGTTTGAAGTGTTGAATCTCGGATTTTGATGATG